GCTTTTATGGTGATGTTTGTAGTGTTTCATTCTTCATTTTCCTTTTTAAAGCCTTTGCTCTGTTTCATTTTTTGACCAGTCAAAAGCCATTAAAGTTATTTTCATGGGCACTTAAGCAATAATCATTTATACCAGTTTTAGGAAGACACTAAGTGCAGTCTCTGACACAACTTTAGTCGTGCCTTTTTTTTTTTGTTTCAATCTTATTACCATGTTTATCCAATGGTGTTGCTGTTTTATAGAGATAAAGCTATAAATTAAGAGTTGGAAGAGAATTCCATGAATGTGCTTGTATGAATCACACTAACATCATGGATGCCTCATTTATAAAGTCAATATCTTACCAAGCTGTGACTGCAACAAACTGCAAACTGCATTTGCGAGGGAGTTTTTCAAATGTCTCAGAACATTTGTGGGGGTTTTCAGTTTCCTTGCATGAGTCACAAATGCCACAATCTTATTGCTTGAAAGCATGTTCAAAAGGTTTGCATAACAAATTTTCTCAGAGTTTGGGAGTGTCTCGAAATCAACTTGAACCCTTCTAAATATAGTTTCTTTGTTTTTAAAATGCTTCAGTTGTATTTTTGTACAGTATCACCTATTTATTTATTTTTATATACTAATAGTAATTTGTTACTTGACATGGTATGCATTGTTTGCAACTCTAAAATAAATAAGTGCAACAAAATGTTAATAAAAAAATTCTCCTGTCCCTGTATAGAAGTTTTACATATAGAACTGCATTTCCATTGACCATGAAAATGCGCAAATTCGAATTTCAAAAATTTATTTGCTCAATGGAAACACGTCAATTTCGAAAAAAAAAAACCTTCATTTTTTCGGCAATATGTTTTTGAGCTACGAGGTGGTTTTTCGGATGTATCGAAATTGGTGTTTCGCAAAACTGCAATGGYAACACTTTTTTCGCATCACAGGAGTCATGTGATCAACAACCGGCTGTTTCTACTGGCGAAAATGATGACAACGAAGAAGATAACAGGAAGTAGAAGCGGTAATAATATCACAGAAGTTGTAAAAGAAAGTAGTAAACTCAACGACTACAATTTCCCAAAAATGCAGCATACTTAGCCGCTCCCAAGTATAAGGAGCTTGTCACTGGAAAGCCTTGATAAGACTGATAAGCAATTATGCATATGTTAATATCCATTGCTGCCATGTTTGTAATGACTTATCGCAGGAACAAGCATATTCACGCATGACTTTAATAGTTTTTCTTACTTAATGGAAAGACCGCAATTGCAAYACTGTGTTTTTGACATTAACAGAATATGGACAAACTTTTGCGCAAAATTTCAATGGAAACACAGCTAGTGACCCTATATTCTAAAAATATGACATGTGTATTCAAGGGCGTAACTTTGTGCTGAAAGTTGGTGGGGATGCACTGTGGGGGACAGGGTCTGACGCACCCACATTTGTGCGACCAGGTTTTTCTGTTGTTCACGTCTTCAGTGTGTGCTCAGTTTAACTGTCTGCACCCATCAACAACTGAACACCAAATGTTTCTTTTGTGATGCAATAATACTCAAACCATATTAACTGAGGTTATGTTCYCCTTCATTCAACCGTGTACTGTACCAACCTTTAAACTCACTAAGAATGCAGTTTGACAGTCAACCATAGTTTCATACAGAGACACACAGGTGGAGCACAGGTGTGTTGGTTCATTTTCTCGCATAAGAAGTCTTATAACAGTAAAGGACACACTGGAGGGGGATCTGGGGGTCCTCCCCAGAAAATTTTGAATTAATTAGAAGCTATTTCCTGATTTCTAATGTATTTTAACAGGTTGTTAAAGATACTTTTACCTACATAAACAAACACCTGATTTAATGACTGGAGAAAGATTCTTCATTAAATTGGTTGCATCGTCCTGTTTTTAAACTCAGTTATGACTCAGATGATTAAATTAATTTGACAAATTATCCCAAACAAGTTTAGAGGAGGTTTTTACATTTATTTACAAGATCGATATGTGTATGTTTGTAACTGATTAAAAGCTAATGAWGGATGGATTGACAGATTTATTTACTGACCTTTATTTAACCAGGAAAATCCCAATTATGAAAACTAATTCCTACCACTTCCTACAAATACAAGTTAAATTTAAATAAGCCTATCAGTTTTATACTGGTCTAAATAAAATAAATTGTTAAGCAGTGTTTCCCCTACCATTATACAGC